AAATATAAAAGAATCATTAGAAATTGCTAAAAAACAAAATGATTTTGAATAGAGATTTAGGTCCTCTGAAGTAATTTGTGGAAATCAATTTTGTAAAATGACACCACTGTACAAAAATGCAAAATGTACATGATTTACATGGGTATGTAAATGAAATTTGTTGTCTTTCTTGTCTCCTGAAGATGATGGTAGCATGTTCCACTGAAACATGTAGAGAATTTTTTTAGATTTTTATTGCTTTTAACTTTATATAATAAATTATTGTGCATTATATTCACCGAAGTCAACAACTCATTATTTTATTGGTCATATGATGTTGTGCTCAAAAACATTCGTTTCTTTCTTTTTGTTCAAACAAGAAAGTAACTTCTGGTATAGAAATGTATAATCATACATGTAGGTTTTACTATGATAAGTTGAAGTAGTTGCCCTAAACATAATTATGAGTGTTAATACTTTGATAAATATTCAATATAACAATAAACAAAATATACACTTAATTTTCTTTTAATAAGTAAATATTCTCAGGATATGACAAAGGAAATGCACCAATCAATGTATGAAAGTAACAATGTAAAAAAATATATGTACAAGCTTTTCTTTTTCAACAAAGCCAGCATACATTATAAAGTGTAAAAGCAAGAAAATAAAAATAAGATCAACAAATAAGATCTGTACATTACCAAAGGATCAATAACTTTAATTGTTCAACAAACAGAATATGATCCATGTCCCACTTTAGTAAGAACAATAATAATGGTTTTGTGTGAGAAAGTACTTAAGTATCTTAAGAGTAAAGTTGTAGCAATCAGATATCAAATGGTTGGAAGCCTGTATGATCACCTACATATAACTATTAAGTAATTTTATTTTCCTACAATTAGATACTAATTATTTTTCAGTTTTTGTCTCTTGTTTCACCTGCTATTCTCTTCAGGAAAGTCCTGTGTAGGACGATATGTTTGCTGGTTGTGACTGGGGTTTGATTATGGGTCTTTTTCATAGAAAGTCTAGTGCTTTGTCCTTTCTGATGGAATCCTCCATTATACTTTGATACAAGTGACTATTTAAATATTTTCAAGAGAGGTATTAAGGTTTTGACTTATGTGCTAGGTCAACAAAGTGTATTATCAGGTGTATGTAGAAGGCATATTTTATATTTCTTTTTCTGATGTGTGTGGTTCATATCCTATTATTTAATATTATTCCATTTTATCATATGGTCTTCTACTCTGGCATGATGGGCTATTTTAGACAGATCAGAATTACCAAATCTTGGATGTTTATCTCATTTGCTATTGCTCTAGTGGATTACATTAACCAGTGACCTCAAAGTGACTATTGGAGCTTCCATACTATAACTTTTAACATGTATTATGTATCTTCAGAAAATGTTTCAAGCTTTCAGTAAACATCACGAGTCTTTTGTAGACAAAAAAAAATCAGAATCTTTATTTAAATATTTTTACTAAAAACTTGCCGATATATATACGGAGTCAGAGCGTTGACTGCCTCGAGTGTAAAGTGATTTTCATGTTAAGCTTAAAAATACTTACTTCATCTGAAAATTTTCAAATTTCATTTGCATAATCTCTAAAACCTCCTCAATAAATATCAATTTATTTTTCAGAAAAACTTTATATTTTATTTACTAGGTCAATCAACTTGACTGCCCTTGTAACCACCATAAAACTTTAAAGGTTGAAAAATGCAAGATAAAGTGAGTAGTACTATTCTGTCCTCTTTATTACTGACCATTAAGTTCCAAAGTACTTCCCCCGAGAGTTTTTACTTCTATTTCCTATGTTTATTTTATTGTTAGCGGCTGAAGTAGAAACCTGCCAATAATAATACAATGAATCACTGCTCCTGCCATTAGATTGTTAACATGACACCATAATACAACACTGATGGTAGCAAATAAGTTCATGTGTCACAATTACCAGAACTTTCCCACACAGTTTATCATAAACCTGGCTCTAAGAACACAGTGGTAGAGGGTTTACTGGCTCATTTATAGTACAGCAGTTGCCACAAGAACTGTCTAAAGTGCAAGAAAATATTTGTGATATGAATCTGCACGAAGTTTGGGCCAATCGAATAAACTTGGTTTAGGTACTTGGATGTTAGTTTTCCTCACGGGGTGGTTGGAATTTAGTGCTATGTGTATACATAGTGTGTATGTGCTTATGAACATGTATATATATTATTACCATTTACTCATAAATGCTTAATTTTTAGTTAATTTTCTTAAAAGATAAAAAATAAATAAAAAATATAGAGAAAAACAACAATTTCTTGTACTTACAATGCTACAAAATTGATATGTACTCATGAGTCATATTTGCCAAGCTTCACTGTAAGACTCGTTTATTCTCTCAAGTGGAGGGTCAAGACAAATTAATTTTTGTAGATTTCAAAGATGCATTTTTGAAAACCAAAATATTATAATATTACTATACTGGTTCACATAAAGCCACTGAAAATTTTTCTGGCTTTCTAATTAAGCTATATGTGGGTTAAAAGAAATCTCATTTCTGTTCAGACCAATGACTTACTCAACTTTCTTCAAACTTTCAGCCATATACAAGTTGTCCCTTCAAGCCAATTTCAAATGGCTGTCAATCAAATGTACATTGGTTGAAATGTGCTCTTTCTATTGGTTATAAACATGCACTTAAGAGCAGTAGATGCCAGTATACAGATGTTTTAAAGGTTTGTAAGGTACATTGATATCTCAGCAAATCAAAGAGGTGGAGGTTCTTATTTTGTATTCTAGCTTGTAAATGTCTGAAGTTTGGGTTTCTACTTCATTAATCACTACAGACATTGTATTGTAAACATAATAAAATATAAACTAGACAAGAAGACATGCCATATGACACACACACACAAAAGCATACTTGGCTTTTTTTTAATAGTTTCTTTTCAGTTAAAAAAGTAAAACATATACATAGAATTAAAATTTGAGTTATAAACTATGTTGTGAAGCCAATTTTATTGGCATACAATGATAATAAGGTTCTTTAATTAAACTTTGAAAATAATTCACTAAAATATTGTGGCATACACCCTTTGACATGTCTGTTGAGAAAGAGTTATTGTGCTCCTGAATTCTAGCTTTCGTTGGTCTTTCTTTTTCTCCAACATACAGGAAATTGAAATACACCTTTACAGGGGATGCTATAAATGGTGCTTTTTCTTTATACAAGTTCTTTAAGTGGTTTGTTATATAGTAACTATGTGTTGTGGCTTGTGAATATTGGTTTGACTTTATGTTGTTTACCTATCCTCTGTATGTTTTCAGAAAGACTTATAAAAATAGAGCAATGCAGAATTATGTCTAATTTTCTACCTGTTTATTCTTAATGTTTATTTTCTTTTTTATCAAGTGTTTTGGCTATTCATTGTTAAGGTGGATTGCAGTGATTTATTTTTCTTCCTTCCTCTCAGATTCTTTGGTATTACAAATCTTGTTCATTATGAAAACTAGACAGTTTATGATGGTTTGGTTTATAGCCAAGGTGCTACCCATATCTTTGAGTTTCCTATAAACTCCTGTGGTATAGAGTTACTTGTCTTAGTAACCATTGTGTCTAGAAATGGGAGTTCATTATCTTTTTCTATTTTTACTGTGAATTGTATTATGGGATGTTGCCTACTTAGATGGTTCATGATTTCTTGAATCTTGTCTGTAGCCTGTTATTGTATTATGAATGTATCGTACACATCTTGAACAAATCTCACAGTATAGAACAGCTGTTGTGAAAGTGTTATCTTCAAAATTTTCCTTATAAAGATTTCTAAAAATGGATGATAGGGGTGAGCTCATGCCTAGTTCTTGTTAATGGTAGTACTTAGCTTTGTATTAAAAGTAAACTGTGTTGACACAGTAGGTTTTAAGTTCTATCATTGTGATGATTGTCAACTGGGTGCATTCCTTGAGAGTTGTGTAATTTTCAAGTTGTTGGTGGAGTATCTGTAGTGTTTCAAGAGTTGGTTTATAAGTGAATAGGTTGGATATGCCACAGCTGATCATTGTATCTTGCAAGGTTATTATGATTACTTTTATGATCTCTACAAAATGGACTGAGATCTTAACATGTAAAGATGTTTTAGCTGTTAATGGTGATATTATATTTACAACATATCTAGCTAAGGGGTGACATGATGAATCTCTGTGCTTAAACTATGCAACAAAAAGGGAAGCTTTATTTGTGAATTTTTGGTAGATCTTAGATGTGTGAGGTGGTGCTGTGTTATACATTAGTTTTTTTACTGTTTTTGTTCCAAATTCTTTCTGATGTTTCTTGAGAAGTTGGGTAATTATTTTTTATGTATAGCAATTGGATTAGCCTTGATCTTTGTGTAGTGGCCATGTTGTTGATGTATGCTAGTCAATAGTAAATTATCTCCTGCTAAGTCATGTATTTATTAGTTTAGCATGAAGGGTCTTGGGGATGAGATAAGCTGTGCTGTCAAACCTCAATGCATTGGCCAATCAGCATTGAGCTGTTGACTGGTAATCAGGTGGATTTTCAACAAAAAATATTATAACCAAAATATAGCAATAAAAATTTTAAAGTCAGCAAATGTTTTTTAGATGTGTTGGTATATTGGCAGAAATTGGTGAAAATGTAAACTTCTCTGGTCATAATGTCAAAATAATCTCTCAGTCGGCCCCAATTTCAGATGGTCAGTCAGATTACAGCAAACAAATATTTTTAAACTTCGTTCATGTGAAGTGGATAATGCACCCCACTCTTTAACAAGAAACAAGGTTGCTAACAATACAGAAGACAGCAAGAGATTAGCAGTCAAAACATAGGATAAACACTAATTACTATTTAGTATCTAGTTATCAAACATAACATAAAATTAGAAACTAATGAATAAATTGACTTGTAGGCTACATATCTTGAGAATAATTAATCTATTCTAATTCACATGTAAATGTAGGTAAGCAATATGAAAAATACCCTAAAATATAACTACAGACACATTTATACATACAGCTTTTGTTTCATACAAAGCAATCTTCTGCACAGAACTTATGATGTGATGATACTTGGGTCTTTTTGTCATTCTGCAATGTTGAAGAAATCCTTGTCTGCTCAAAGATTAAGTTGAAGCTTTATGGAACAAAAATGGACCAACTCTCACACAAAAGTAATTTTCAAAACTTATTTCTAAATAAATACTTAGATTTAAATTTACTCTTAATGAACAAATGTAATAACACATGATCAGAGGAATTCTATGTATCCTAAAATTTAATACAGAGTAACTATGTTGCATAAATTAGAATAAATCAACAGACAGTTGTTTGGTAATTATTTACTGTCAAAACAAAAGTGACCCAACTCAACACTAACATGTTATATGAACTGCAGTTAAAGTCACTTTCAAATACTTAAGCTCAGTTAATAAATAAAACTCAAAGATGGTATTTTCTATTAATATCATGTTGGACTCTCATATAATTTAATGTTAATTCATGAACTTGTGCTTGTACACGTGTATTGTTCTAATGTCTTTAAACATAATATAATGTAAAATGAAAACTTAAATTAACAAAAACTTTATATTCCAATGTGTTACATAAGCCTGCACATTTTATTTTTATATATATCCATGTAAATTACATACAAATTGATATCAGAATACTTTCTACTTGTAAAAGCTATAACACATTGGCATTTGTAAAGACTAAAAATTGATTGCATATATCAGTATGTAAGTAGGAAATAAAAAGCATACTCTGCCTTATCTAAGTCCTCAGTATAAACTTTAGCTGTGAAATACACTGTCCGTGTGTTTTAATTTAAATAAATCACAAAAATGGTTAGAGTGTAAATAATTAAAAAAATAGCAAACAATAAAATTCTTAGGCTAATAGCTTTTAAAGAGCTTAAAAGGAGAATTGATAATTTGTTGAGTAATAAAAGACAGGTTTAAATTTTTAATATTTCCCATACAGGGTATGGAAGGAGAGCCTCAAAAGACTAAATGGCCCCTTGATGTCCATACATAATAGTGCAAACAATTACATATTCTCCCTCTTCCTAACAATGTTAAAGAATATTCTTTTCCCAAACAATTCCCATAGCCTGAATTCTAAAATCTAATTGCCACAGATCAATAACTTCCTAGATTTTGTCTTTAATAACCAGTTATGTGAAAACCTCATATCTGCAGCATTCAAGATACCATATTTAGTTGGTTAAAGCATCTACTTGGTTAGCCAAGTCATGGGTTTGAATCTCTCCAATCTCAATTCTCACATTTTCATAAAAATTCCAAGCTATAAACAGTAATGCCCGTGGAGTGTAGACATATTTATGTTATGACTATGTACTAGCCTAAAGTGAAAGAAATCATGCTTGCATCCCTTGCATTTACATCACATCATTAGTCACCATGTTGACATTTGATGTGAAAGCACAAAAGACATTTAAATTACTAAAAGGCATTACTGACTTGTTTCCTTGAGGAAAAAAACATTATTTCTCTTTCTTCCTAATGATAGTAATATAACTTTTACAAAACTTTATTTGAAGTTCTGTTTTTAACTGAATATGACACCTCAGTAAACTGGTTTCTATATGTTTTTATCAAGATTTCTTCTAAAATGCACAGCCTATGATAAACCAGTTTTTCAAACAGGGTGGTCTGTTTTAGGAACAGTTTTTCTTCAGATGTGATAGATACAAAAGAACAGAGAGAACAAGAGAGGACCTGGTAAGTTCTTTGGGAGTCAGGGCTTGACACAGGCAGATTGGTGGTTGATAAAATATCAACTTATTAGAAAGGTTTCAGACGAGGGCTACTAAAATGATTCTTGAAATTGGTTGTCTCATGGTAATAGGTTAAGATCTCTATTTTCTTTCAAAGAACTGAAGGGTAGGGGGTGGTCAATCTTATTTAGATGCACAAGATTATCTATGGGATTGGCATAAAAAGTGTCTCTGATTCTTTGTGATATATTCCAAAGACACGAGAATACAAGTTAAATATATGGAATATACACTTATGGTGAGAATACAGGGTAGGCTGTAGTTAAAAGTTTTATTTTTCCAACAGGGTGATCGGTTTATGGAATGTGTTGCCATTGGCAGTTGTGGAAGGTAGCACCTTACAATATTTTAAAAATGGAATCGATAAGTTTCTGCAAAATAAAGTGTGGTTTAAATTTTTCCTTTTCAACATTAACTTAACGACCATATGGATAATGGTAACTTGTTGTCTGTATGTTATTTTTATTAACACCGAGCAAATTAGAAATAATAAAGTTTCGTTTCTACACATAAACAAGCGTAAAACATTCGTTCTTTCTTGGTTAGTAATCTCAGTATTTTCGTTTGAACTTTGGCTTTCGCGAATTTAGTATTACTATTAGTAATTGTGCCACCAATGATTTAACTCATGTAAATCAGGCGCTAAACGTAATTTTTCCACTATTCCTGACGTTTGCTGTAAGCTACTTCGTCATAGTTTATACAAAATTTTCCGAATAAGTCATGATAGGGAACAAATGTACTCTTGAAATTATGTTATTTGATAGCGATAGCTTGTAATTACCCAGTTTTATTTTAAAATACAAGCTCCAAAATACCCACCTCAAGTTGTTTACTTTCTCCTTGTTGCTTACTCAGATTCTGAACTTGGTTACGAATTCAGTTATTTATTAGTTTACACGACATTCAGTGTAACATTTTCTTTAATTTTCAAAAACATTTTAAAAAATTACATTAATTACCACACCATTTTGAACTTTCTAGGTATCAACAGCCTCTTACTCCTACACATAGATTTCCTGAGAAACTGGGTATGATGGGTATATTTTCATTTATGTTAATTTAACTTTTAAGCGCTGTGTGTGTATATCTCAGTATCTTGTTTATATTTTCGTTGTGCCCTGTTTAATTCTTTATTGGAGGTGCATTCACCTTGTATGGTATTTTGTAATTTTAATTTTGTGATTTATTTCAAGGAGTTTATTTTGTATTTTAAAAATTTAGTGCGACTTTGATTTTATTTGATATGTAATGGGTCGCCCCCAGTGGCAAAGCGGTAAGTATGTAGGTTTATAATACTAAAAAAACAGGTTTCGAAACCTGTGGTGAGAAGAGCACAGATAGCCTTTCAAGTAGCTTTGCGCTTAACAACAAACTTGTAATAGGTTTGTTATAAAAGTTCGCAGGGGCTAGATACTCGGCAGCCGAGAACGATCTTTCAAAAACCCTAGTCTCTCCAGTGGCACAGCGATATGCCTGCGGACTTACAACGCTGAGAACTGGGTTTCGATACCCGTGGTGGGTAGAGCACAAACAGCCCATTGTGTTGCTTTGTGCTTAATTCCAAAGAAACAAAAAATCAAAAACCCGCATGATAAACTAGAATAATAATAATGATTAAGAATAATAATTTGTTTTGTATTTATGCACAAAGCTACACAATGGGCTATCTGTACTCTGCCCACCATGGGTATCGAAACCCGGTTTCTAGCGTTGTAAATCCGCAGACATACCGCTGTGCCACTGAGGGACGTAACAATAATAATAATGATAATCTGAAATATATATATATATAGAGGGAGAGAGAGAGAGCATGAATTATCATACTGGAAGCTAATCAATATTCACGATCATTAAATTATGTACTCCTGGATATCTAGTATTTCGAGGATCATTTTCGGCAGCTTATAGCAAACACACATCATGGTCAACATTGAACAAGGATGACGATCGATATTTCTTTTTCCAGTGCACAACCTTTATTCAGATCGTTTCATCGAGCTTGAAGACAAACCCGTTTAATAATTTACTGTTACTTGTTCTATAAGTCAAATGAGAGGTGATCATAACTTATCAATATTCAAATTTTTGGGCTGCCGCGTATCTTGCCGCTACGTTTTCTTTCCTTTGTATTCATGATTGTCAAGAATTTCGTTTAGTGTGCTTGCATTAATATTAAAGGTTGTTGTTGTTGTTTTTCTATTACGCACAATGTTAAAAGGCCCTATCTATCCGGTTGTTAAAGAGTATTTTGAGGTAATTTTTTAATATTTTGTATTGGTTTTTATTTTTTAAGAGTTATGATGTTTGTATGGCGTGGTTTCCGGTGGTGAAACAAACATTAATGTGCTTTTCGACCGCGACGTGATTGTAAACAGTGAAGGTTATATTGGGATTGAAGTGGAGAAGAAAGAAAAGTTGTGGTATGTGATTCATATTCCGTGCGTTTCCATTTTGTAATATTATAGTATTCGTTCTGAATTTATTCTTCGTTCTGTACATGTGCAGGTTTCACATAGCACGTGGTCGAGAAAGCAGTTAAGTTGATTTCATTATAACTGCCTTTGTTTCTGTGTTACTCATGACTTGATAACTTAACTGAGTTTTCCTAGTGTATGTGAAATAATGAGACTGGACAAGTTTAACAAAAGAAACTCAATCTTTAAATAAAAGTCCAAAATTATAGCTTTTTTAGTGGATTGTTCATATTTATTCTTCTTTTTTACGATGTTAAATAAAAATAAACAATCCACTCAAAATCTGTATCTTTGGACTTTTATTTAAAGTGTATAGTGAGTTTACTCTTTCACAATAAACAAAAAGAAAATGCAGTGTACTTACTTGTGCACACAAAAAGACAGTGGATTGTGATTAGTTCTACGGCTTCTTGTTTCTCGGGGTAGACTTCTATAGAGTTTGTTTGTTTTGAATTTCGCGCAAAACTACACGAGGGCTATCTGCGCTAGCAGTCCCTAATTTAGCAGTGGGAAGGCAGCTAGTCATCACACTCCACCGCCAACTCTTGGGCTACCCTTTTACCAACAAATAGTGGGATTGACCATCACATTATAACGCTCCCACGGCTGAAAGGGCGAGCATGTTTGGTGTGACGGGGATTCGAACCCGCGACCCTCAGATTGCGAATCGAGCATCTTAACCACCTGGCCATGCCGGGCCACTTCTATAGAGTTAAACATGCTTATCAACAAATAGGACTACAATTGTCAATCTACAGGTAGAAACTGAACTGAGATAATGTGTGCCTGAATTCTATGGATAAACTTGGTTTCTTTGTACAGTGAACAGTTTCACCTTATGACCTTTATTTTCTCACAGCATTGGTCAGATGTAATTTACAGAGAGCATCAAGTTAGACAGTAAAGAATATTACAGTTATTAATCCTTTCAACCAGGATGCTATATTTTACTTCAATATATCTCTTTGACACTATCTACTACAGAGAACAAAGAAACAAAGCAACTAGAACAAGGCAACCTCAATGACTTTCTGGACTATATATTTAGCATAAAACTCTATAAATACCAAATAAATAAAAATTAAAAAAATTTATATATAATTTAAGTGGACAGAAAATACATGATATTCCTGCATATCACACACCTATATGTAATGAAAATGACCAGATGTGTGTAATGTTAATCACTCTGGTTAAGTGTGATGTTTTTTGTGAACAAAGGAAGGTTGGATTTAGACAGTCTGGAACAAAATTTTGTAGGAGACACAGTTGAGAAACCCCATATAAAAAATGCACACACACACACTTTGTTTGTATTGAGTATTATAATAAAGATTGTTTATTTTGAATTTTACTTTATATCTAGCCATATTATGCCATTGAACATCACGACTCAATTAGTAAGAGATTTAGCATTACTTTTTGATCAAAACCTCTACCGAATCTCCAATTATTAAATGGGCCTATCTGATAGCTCGAAGGTTAACTCAGTTTTATCTGAATACCACATTAGTATCCCATGTGTTTTCTACCTCCTACTATCAATAAACGAATTTTTCAATATAATTTTGTTCAGGTATGTGCAATTTTCAAATAACACATTAGTTTAGAAGGTCATTAAGTTTTTGCTATAGCTACACATTGTGCTGTGTCATTCACCTAGAGTAACACAATGTCTTCCTGTGGGATAGATAGTTGCATGGTCAGCTATGGTAAACGAAATTAAACATTTTTTTTTTTTGTACTGGAAGTAATGACCTCTCTTATGTTTCATTGAGAATGACCAGTCACGTCAGTAGCATTGTTCAGTATGAACATGAATTACATTAATGAATTAAGTAAGTAACGTGAGATTTATTCATTCTGAAACAGGTAATCAACTAATATAGAGTTGTTTATGCCCTGATTTGAGTTAAAACATCTTTCAACCTAATTCTTCAGTAAAGGCGATTGTTTGTTGTGGAAAGTAAAGTACATATTTTCGTTGTGTTTGTTTTTAATAAAGATTATTTATTCTGATTGTATATTTGTGTTCAATCTCTCTATTTTCTCATGAACTCAGCCAGAGAATACAGTATTATTTGACAGTAGTTATCCTGATGAATGTTCAGTGGAACTATCTTGTACTATCAAAAAATGTCACACTGTCATATCTCAGCCAGCATGATGAGTTGTAGTATTGATTACAGTATATATTGTTGCGTCAGCGAGTCACATGACCACCGTGACGCAACGTTTCTAGAATTATCATGTACTTTGGCGAATGTTCAAGTTCTTACTAGAAATAGGGTACGCTGGTATATAAAAGAGGGGAATGTAATGTGTGATAGTCAGTGAGTAATTGAACTGCAGTAACAGGGTATTGTTGAAGTTAACGTTCGTTCGTTATAGTGTTGTTTTAGCGCGAGCATTGAGATTAAGTGTATCGAAGAGTTATATTCGGAAAGAATAAACCAGTTTTATTAAGTAAAGACTTGTGTCGTTAAAGTTTCGTTGGAACGAAGTTACGGAAAGTTAATTAACAAACGGAGACGTAACAATATATATATATTCACACACCCTTGATTTTCACAAAATGTCAAGCAGAGTTGCATGACCACACAATTTTTTACTCTTCACAATATGTTTGTTTCAGTAGCTATATTTCAAAAACTAACAGCTGCTAATAGTTGTATTTCGCTGGATTTGTAAATTAGTTAACTGGTTTTCATGATCTCCTCTAAGATCAATCATCTTGACTATCATCACTAGATGGAGAGCTAATATCCTCTTGTTTCATTGCCTCTTTTGCCTCCCAGTGGTACAGCGGTATGTCTGCGGACTTACAATGCACGAATCCGGG